ATTGCACTAGATTTTTGGTTCTCACCTTCTGATGAAGATTTGAGAACGATCATTTACCAAAATATTTTCTGGTTGTAAGTTTGGAAATTTTAAAATTTATCCCAAATATGTGGTGTGGTTTGACTATGTATTTGAGGGTTTGGTAATCATAGGTATAATCTTTGTATAACCACACATTTGACAAACTTGAAAGTTGTCTTTGTGATCCTTTGAAGACGATATATTCCCTATTAAGAGGTAATTTTGTCTTTGGTTGTCTATTAGCCTCCACTTTACTTCGTATTCCTCATTGTTCTATTTTGTGACCACTAAGTTGCATAGTATTCTCGGTACTAGCAAGAATTTCAAATAATGGTATAGCACCCGTTGGGTAAATCTGATGATTTTAAGAAATTCCATGTTTATCCATCGTGGAAAAATGATAATACCATCATATGAGGATGTAAAGGGTATTAAGGGATTTTCAACCGGATTACATATGAAAATATATGATCATGGGATCTCAACTTGAAGTTGATTACATGACATAATTGTGAGATGCGATAGACTTGAGGTCTTGAAAAACGAATGGGTGATCATTCGTGATGTACTCATGACAGCATGTTTCTCTTAAGGGAAATATTCGAGATGAATAAATATCCATCCATTATGTACTTAGTTTGAGAACTGAGTGAAGTTTGCGACATGTAAAATGAAATATGTACATATTTAGCTATCAAGAGAATAGCCATGACATTTTTTGAACATGGGGTTAGTCAGTATAAAATACCAACCAAAAATGTGATGTAGATCTTGTAATAGTGTTTGAGACACTCGATCTTTGCTATAAATTATGGTCTCCACCTTTATGTATGGACGACAATATCATCACAAAAAGTAATATTTGTGTAATTTTCCACGACTTATTCAAGCAAAATGATGCTTAAATAATTGATACTAGAAGAAAAAATGCCATTTTAATCATGTAAGATCAATATAATTTTTTTATTAGGAGAGTAAATAATTTTAGTGAACAACAATAATTGCTTCAGAGGAGCAAATTTTATGATAGCTGATGCTATACACTCATATGTGTAGACCTCAATTTATATAGGATAACACTTTGAAGATAATCACCGGATGCGGTGTAGATCTCGCAGTAATAGGAAACATAGTCTGACTTTTGTCAGTAGATGTTCATAATTCTATTACCTTATGTTATGTAAAATGTGTGAAATCACTTTGAAGGTAATCATCTGTCAAAGTGACATGATGTAGACCTTGCAGTAATAATGGATAGTCTGCAAAATTTGCAGTAGATGCTAGTATTACCTTATGATATCTTGAGGTAGTCACATATAATATTAATATTTGGAAGAGCACTTTGAAGGTAATAATCTTGTTAAAATGATAAGATGTAGACCTCACAATAGTGGTTGATAATCTGCAAATGGTGCAGTAGATACCACCAATACCTTGTGATTCACAAATTAAATTTGGAATAGTCACATTAATATTTGGAAGAGCACTTGAAGGTAGTCATCTTATCAAAATAACAAGATGTAGACCTCACAGTAGTGATAGATAATCTGCAAATTATGCAGTAGATGCCATCAATACCTTGTGATTCACAAATAAAATATGATGTGGTCATATTAAGTATGACACTTCAAAATCCTTATTTTGGATTTTGTCAAGATTTGCAAGAAAAATTAATTCCAATTGCAAAAGACAGAAAAATGTTGTTCTAAAACTAATATTTACAATGAATGTTGAGGCAAACATGTATAATATGGCACAATGTCGTCTCTAATATATAATGGAAATTCAAGGTATGAACACTTGAACAATACTACTATGCTCATAATACATGTAGAATTCATTTTTTAAAATATGATGCACAATATGACAAGACCAGAGGGTCTGAGTGATACGATCACAATTAGCCTGAGGGCTTCTATGCAAGTAGTACTAAAGCTGATGTCCTTATTTGGCAATAGAAAAAAATGCAAATTGTTAAATGGCCGAAGAGATAAGGTTCTCTGGTGATTCTCGCTACGGCCAAGAATCCATCGATTGAGTTAGCTTTGGCTGTACAGAGTCATAGCACATCTCCTCGTGAGGAATTAGGAGGGAAGATGGCGTCGCCAATCGAAGGTCGTCTGCGCCTGGGCAGCATCTCCACGCCGTGGGACGGATGTTGGCCGCCGCCACCGCCGGCCGCCGCGCCATCGCACCGCATCAGGAGAAGCGGCGTCGGAGCCGAAGGCCGCCGCCGTGCCAAGGTGTGGCGGAGAGAACTGCGCTCCGCATGCGCGTTGGCCGTCTCTGTTGCCGGGCTGCGTGGCGGGCCGTGGTGCTCCTCCGGAGGGAGGAGCGTTGCTGCCGGGATGTGGTCGTCGCCGCTGTAGACGGCCGTGCCGATGGAGGCCGCGGGTGCAGCCTCAACCATCCGCATCCAGGGGGAAAAGGGAGGAGGAGAGTGGACGAGCGGCCGCCGCTTAGACCTTCCTCCGTCCGGAATCATTTAAGAGGCAAGAACATCACAAATTGAAGAAATCACATGGATGCTTACAGTTATTGGTATGGATTTTCGATCGAGTGATCCTGGATGCCAACGCCCATATCCTTTTCTGTGCGTCTTCCTTGTGTAATTGAAAATTGTGCCCAATTTCAAGTTCTGATGTTCCTGCTTGGAGTATGATAAATCCGCTCAATTGATTGATTTTCTGTCCTTTGGCAGAGTGCGTTCGAGGCTTCCAATTGTTGAATCGATGGAGGCTGGCGCTGCGTTCTTCCATCGGTTCTTCTTTCTTTGTAGTTCACGATTGATCAATTCTTCGTGAGATTCGTGTGAGCGCATATACATACAGGAGAAAAACAATTCATTGTTAGATTATTAAGAGACCTTTTACAGTGCATCAAGTCAATTTGGGCCGTTCGTTTCTATGGTTTGGAGGGCCCAGATGACTCGATACTACACCAGGTTTTGGGTAGTATATTTACTAGTTAAGGGCATTTTGGGTACTTCAGTATTTATCAATCACGCGGTCAAGTTTCTTCCCTGCCATGGCCAACCTTTCCTCCCATCATCTCTTGCCCAGTCCACGCCGGCAAGCCGCCCTGTACTTTTCGGAGACAAGCCACGGCCGCCGACGAAGCAAAGCTGACGGCCTCGGTTCGTGCCCCAAGCTGGAATTTCCCTCACGTAGATAGGACACACGGCGATGTAGAAAAGCTCCACCGGCCGGATAGACAATCACGTCACGCACATATGCAACAATCAGATCACTGCTTGCTCTCGTAACATAAGTGCGCACGCGAGACGCTTGTTGATGGCCACAAGCACATATGGTCCGCTGTGATTTTCTTTATTGCATCAACTCACCTTGTGATTACAAGGCCGATGGCGTTGAGCAGAGCTCCACGAGGGCGGGATCAAAGATTGGCAGTTGATAAGTCTTCCATTCACCCTTCTGCTCCTCGGGCGAGTCAACGCTGGACACTTCCGGGCCGACAAGCTGCCCGACGCTCTTGGCCTGTGATCAGGGGTTCCGCACCATGCGCTTGAACCAGGCCCGTCGCCGTCGCCGTGCCTCTCTCGCGGGGCAGCTCTGGCAGCCCGAGGGAGCAGATGTGACGTGGGCCGCATATGCACCCGCTCGTGCCTCCCCGCGATGAGGCTTGTGAGTTGGGAGTGCACCGAGGGAGTTATCGAACTTGTCAATCGCCTCGCAGCACCACCCCGCCCATCACTTCCAGCCGTCGCACACCCGCGCCGCCTTGCTCGCCATTGCCCTGTCAGCCGCGTTGCCGTTGCTACTCATCAAATGAAAATCAAATCGGCCGTCTGAAGCCACATGAAGCCGTGTTGTTCTGTGTGCACGCACTGGCTGCAAGGGAGCAGGTATAGCGGAGGTCCTTGCGCCGGCGAGCAGCAGAGGAACAGTGTCGCCTCAGATGGGATTAACTTAATTAATTAGATTAATATAATTATGAAGAAAGAATAAATCTACCTCTGATTGAGAATTACTAATATGCCCTTGAGTAAAAAAATTATCGATCAATACTGACCATTGGATCAACTAAATACTACCCACTATGTTAGGTAGTATGATGTACCGTAAAAAGTGATGATTGCAAGAAGACAAGATCAATCAATCAATCTCCTGATAAGTTTCTTTCCTTTTTGTACGAGGAACATCTCGTCTCCGCCGTGAATCGCGTGGTGGCCGAAACTCTAGTAGCCAACTTCTCCAGACTTGTCCAGTCATCGTCTGCGGCAATTGCAGATCGCCGGAGTGGCCTCCTCTGGCCATAGAGAGGCCTTGCCGTTTGCCGCCGCTGTCGTCGGCAGTCATGTGGCGGATTGAAGCGCCGGAGGGCGCCGCTTCGACGCGCCTACAGAGGAGGGCGTCGTCAACCATGGGGTGCCTCAGCCGCCTGCATCGCGCGCTGGTGCTGCGCCGCTGGAGCGCTGTCGAGGCCGAGGGTCCTTGTGTCCTTGGGGCCGGAGGGAGTCGCCGCCACAGCCGTGTATCAGGCCGATGGTCAGGGACGGTGGTGCCGTCGAGTTCTTGGCCTAATTGCTCTCTGGAAGAGGCGTGCGTGATAACGTGTAAAGATGAAGAGAGAGATGAGCGAATAATGGGAATAAACAGTATCACTTTATTGATGACAAACAAGGCTATATATACAAAGTGAGGGGACGCGTTGAACGGACGCGACCTTTACAAAGGACACCATAAAGGCGGTAACCAATGACGGTTACTTACCTAAGGCGGTTGTTAAGCATGGATTATTAGGATTATAATTAATCCTTAACATAAACTAAAGATTAGCCCCTTCCTCCCATTAATTTGCTCCCCTTCAACCAATGGTCCCCTCTTGGATTATGCTTATGCTCAAGCTCCGCCACTGCCGACGGGATAACACCACCGTGCAGCGCGTCCGCGTCCAGGTAGCCGGCGAAGTCCGCCTTCTGGTTGTTGTTGTACCCCGACAGCGACGACAGGGACCCATCATCGCTGCACCCGCCGACCGCGGCGTGCGCACCGCCGGCGCCGTCCGTGCTGCCCCCGACTGTACACGTAGCTCTCCGCCGACACCAGCGGCGGCATGTGCGGTCCCCCCACGGGCGACGACAGTATCAGCTCATTCTCGCTGAACACGGCGTTGCGGCTGACGGGCGTGGCGGGGGCGGCAGGGGCGGCGGGGTCGAGAGGCTTGTGTTCGTGTGTGGCCGGGTCGATGCCGCGCTGGCGGAGCTTCTTCTTGATGAAGGAATTCCAGAAGTTCTTGACCTCATTGTCCGTGCGCCCGGGCAGGTGCGCGGCGATCTGAGACCACTTGTTGCCGCGGATGGAGTGGAGGTGGATGATGAAGTCCTCCTCCTCCTGCGAGAAGGCGCCCCTCTTGAGGTCCGGCCTCAGGTAGTTTATCCACCTCAGCCTGCAGCTCTTCCCGCACCTCTCAAGGCCTAATAATGCAGCAACAAAATAAATAAAACCCGATTAGTTCCATCGAATTGGCAGATAAAAACTGTTAACCAGTTCTCCACACAAAAAACATTGTCAATCAGTTGCATCACATAAAAGGAAACCATCTCTAATTCAGATCGAAAATGTTATAGTGGCACTAGCATAACTGACGAGAAAGCTACTGCTGCATTGGCGGATCAAGGAGGGGGCAGGATAGCTAGTGTGGCCGTAGTGAACTAGGGATGCGGCTATAGGTTGGTACGGTACCTGCAATCTTGGCGACAGAGCTCCAGCAGCCGTAGCCGTACTGGGCAACGTGGTTCATGAGCTTCTCGTCCTCCTCCGGCGACCAGAGGCCGCGCTTCAGCCTCTTCTTCGTCGCTCCCGGCCACTTCGACATGCCGCCAACTGAGATGACGCAGACTCAAGCTCAATGGCGTTGCCGGCCGTGCAGCTTTGCTAGCCGGCCGTCGATTGCGGCAATGACAGAGGAAGAAACGACCGACGGAGCGATGGAGGGGAAGACAAAGCGAGGCCAGACTATAAAAGGGGCCTCAAGGCGGAAGGCGCGAGGTCCCTCTCAGGAGTAGGTGCCAACGTAGCGCTTGCTACTGCTAGCTAGTCGTAGAGAGTACACACAGCTAGTGTCAGTGATGTGTACTCTCTCGTCTTTTCAGCTATGGATCGCTTCTAGTAAGTCTGCCTTTTGCTCATCCGAGCAAGGCTGCTGGTCGTGAATCATGCCATGTGGTACGTACGTACTGCTAAATCTATGGCCCGTGTGTGTGCGCTGCTGATTAGACAAAGAGATTAGGTCTCGTAACTGTCCACCCAGCTGTGCTGGTAGGGCTGGTTGACTCTTTTCTGCCACCCTGCTTTTCCGCGCCTTTCCCTTGCTTAATCATTTTTCACCTTGACACCTTTGCATCCTCCACTACCACCACACAGATGCTGCATGCGTTGCATGCACCCTAGCCGGCCCTGTGGGGCTTTGGATGACGCTCACTTTGCGTTAACATCACTTCTTGATGCTGCAACAAGTTATCTGGAACGCAGGCAATTGAGCAGCTAGCACGGCAACAAACATGTCATGTCCATCGTCGCTCATGTAATGCAACTATTCTCCACCACGCATATGAACCACAACAGTAACGTACGTAGCCCATTCAATTCATGTCAATATGCGTATGGGTCGCTTTTGGTTTGCGAGATCTATTATAAAGATTCAGTGGAGTACAAAACACCCCAAACATAATAAAAATTACATCAAGGTCGATGAACAATCGAACAACCATTGCCGCCGCTAGAACGAGCCGCTGACGCGCCGCTGTCGCCGCATCCAAACTGGAGCCGGCCTGACCTTGTCGATGACAGCCGGAAAGTCATCGTGCACGTGCCCCTAAGGATCAGTGTTTGGGAGCCACAGTTGTTGGCATTGAATCCTTGGATCGATGTGAAGAACCTGGCACCAAATCTCACCCTTGCGTATGCACGATGAGAAACCCTAATCTCGCTGCTCCGAGGAGCTGGCAGGAATCTACGCCGGAGCTCCGTCTAATCCATCCCGACGAACGAGCTTGAGGAGGATCGGAGCACGAAAGACTGACTCGAAGAAGTGCCGCCATCTGTTCGAGCACGGCCCTTGCGTGAACCAAAACCCTACCTATCTAAGCCAAGGCACGAGGAATACCCTCCCCACACCGGCCGCCGGAGCGGTAGGCGGAGGAAAGCCAAATCCATGGGCTCGCCGGCGAAGATCGAAGGGAAGAATGCTTTCCCTAGTCGCGTTTCATATGCATGACAAGAAACCCTAATCTCGCCGCTCCGAGGAGCTGGCAGGAATCTACGCCGGAGCTCCGTCTAATCTGTCCCAACGAACAAGCTTGAGGATGACCGGAGGCCGAAAGACTGACTCGAAGAAGAAGTGCCGCCATATGTCCGAGCGCCGCCCTTACGAGAACTAAAACTCTATCTATCTAAGCCGAGGCATGAGGAATACCCTCCCCGCCACCGACCGCCGAAGCGACTGGCGGAGGGAAGGCAAATCCACAGGCTCCCGGCGAAGATCGAAGGGAAGAATGCTTTTCCTAGTCGCGTTACCAGAGGGGAAAGATGAAGCTTGTAATCAACTTGCCGGTATGTTCTGCATACGTGTCACTTTAGAATAATGTCTCAATCAAAGTAAACATTTTCAAGTTAGCATGGCAGACATTTAGCTGCTCCTGTCCATGTACGTAGAAAGAATCACAAACAATTATTGACAGAGTCAAAATATTTCTGTCGGTCATGCAACATTTACGTACATAACCCCTTCACCTCCTGTTGGTATACGCGCTACTCTAGAATATGTCTCAATCAATAAATACTTTTTGAGTTTGTCAATAGATGTAAAAAGAAATCAATTAACATCCATTGGTAGGTTCTTTAATATATATAATTTTAAAATTAAATGTTTCAGAGAATCAGTAATCCAAATGTTTTGTTGGAAATGGTGCCAATATATACTGAAAACGACAGGTATCTCAACACGCAGGTAGTACTGGTTAGTAGCCGAATGCCACAGTAGAAGAATCTTATCATGCCACTGATGCGTACGGAGGCAAGTGATCCTATTATTGGGGTGAAGATTGGCTTCAACGAAAGTAGGAGCTGAGAGAAAAGGCCAAATGCCCCAGGTGACACAAGAGAATTAATCTGGGGATCGACACTACAGCAAAGCATGTGTGGACAACGGGGCGCTGCAACGATGCCCACATAACCATTAGTTAAAACACGTTCGCTTTTCCTAGCTACCTATATCACGAAGCAATCAAACTAAGCCTATAATGTGTGTGCGATCCCTGCTTTGGCCACAGCGATCCAGGGTTTCTATATGGAACAGATCATCGGGTAGATCATTTTCCGTGGCAGAGAGCCGGTCGCCAGCGAATAGTGACCGCGTGACAAAGAGCGTTTATAGCACACGTGCCCCTACGCACCGACAGGGTTCACTGTCGTGGAATTGTCACGTCAGATGTCCTAGTGAAAGGACTTAGTCGCGGAGCCATCGCAATTAAAAAGCTTAAAGGGGTTAATCGGGACAAAGGACACGGGGTTTATACCGGTTCGGTTGTAAGTGTACGCCTCCTGCTGCGCCAAAGCCGTCCGAAGAAGCTCTCTGACTCTTCGTGTTTCAACCGCCGTCGGAGATTCGCCATCCACCGGGAGAGCATCCAATCGCGCCGCGCGGCGATCATGTTCTACAAAGGGTTAGAATAATAACCCGGTTGTGTTGGTACATAATGAGGCGGAGTAGTATTCAGACGAGGAGGTTCCATCACCCGTGGTTGAACCGACGTCCCTGCCCCGGGCATTACAACCCGGTTTACCTCTGGCGGGTTACTGGGCCCTGCACCGGGTGTACGGAAAAGGTTTCGAGGATCATAAACCGAAGGCAGACGGGATTGAGTCTTCTGGTACCTTCTCCTCATGACCTCGGTTGACGCGTTCTGATCCATCGTGAGCTGGAAAGCCTGCGACTGAATCCGCTGAGCTTGAGCGTCCAGAGCCGCCCGCTCTGCGGTCATCCTGATGTCTTCGGCCGCCAGGTCTTCCTTAGCCTGTACTATATCCTGCTTTAACTGCGCCACTTTCGCATCATGTTGAGCTTGATCCGCCAGGTTGACCACGGCGGTTAACAGAGCTGTCATCTTATCCATCAAATCCATCAGAACCTGAGCCGGTGGGCGCACAGGGCCTCCTGCCCCGGCTGCCGCTGACCTGAAGGTTATCGCTGCCGCAGTCGTAGAGTTTTGAACGGGTTGCGTGACAGCCATGAGGATCCCAACTCTGCTCGGCGGCTTAAAGGGGTCCGGAATACTGTTGCCATCGGAACAGCCCCCAAGCCCGCAGTCTTGCAGCTGATACAACGAATCCGTCTCACCCGTGGACGATTCACCATCAGAGTAGATGGCCATCTCACCGCCAGATACAGATCCTTCAGAAAGTTCCCCTCCGTGGATGCATCCCACGAAGGCACACTTCACAGCAGGCTGAGCCCGGGCGGGTCTCGCACGCTGAGCCGTCTCGATGATGTCGGTGCAGATGTCCGGCTCAGGGCCCGGCTCGCCGATCTTGCCGATGAAGACGTGGATTCCGCCGAAGGGGACCCGATACCCGTACTCAATTGAGCCGGCGTCGGGGCCCCAGCCTGTGTCGTCGATGTAGAGCTTGCCGCGACGACTTTTGGTCATCCGGCCCATAGCGTATCCTTTGAGACCTTCGAAGCTGCCCTTCAAGAACTCAAATCCACTGTGCGCTGGCCCCACGGTGGGTGCCAACTATCGTGGAATTGTCACGTCAAATGTCCTAGTGAAAGGACTTAGTCGTGGAGCCATCGCAACTAGGAAGCTTAAAGGGGTTAATCGGGACAAAGGACACGGGGTTTATACTGGTACAGCCCCTTACGGTGAAGGTAAAATCCTACGATCCAGTTTTGAGTGGGATTGCTTATGTCTCGATTACCAGGGAGCGAATCCGCTTAACCTAGTTCTCGATCTGATGTTACTTGCCCTGAACCGCCGCTGGGTCGTCCCTTTATATACAGAGGTTGACGCCCAGCGGCTCACAGAGTCTCGGTCGGCTCATAAACAGTGTCCGGCTCGGTCTCTGTCTATTCCTGCCTTACAATACAAGTTACATACATATGGTGGTTTATCTCTACGGGCCTTGAGTCGCCTTTGGGCTTTGGGCCCTTAATTGAACCGCCATCTTCAAGTTTTGTCTTGGGCTTCATGAATACTCTGAAGGAAATATGCCCTAGAGGCAATAATAAAGTTATTATTTATTTCCTTATATCATGATAAATGTTTATTATTCATGCTAGAATTGTATTAACCGGAAACATAATACATGTGTGAATACATAGACAAACAGAGTGTCACTAGTATGCCTCTACTTGACTAGCTCGTTAATCAAAGATGGTTATGTTTCCTAACCATAGACAAAAGAGTTGTTATTTGAGTAACGAGGTCACATCATTAGTTGAATGATCTGATTGACATGACCCATTCCATTAGCTTAGCACCTGATCGTTTAGTATGTTGCTATTGCTTTCTTCATGACTTATACATGTTCCTATAACTATGAGATTATGCAACTCCCGTTTGCCGGAGGAACACCTTGGGTGCTACCAAACGTCACAACGTAACTGGGTGATTATAAAGGAGCATTACAGGTGTCTCCAAAAGTAGATGTTGGGTTGGCGTATTTCGACATTAGGATTTGTCACTCCGATTGTCGGAGAGGTATCTCTGGGCCCTCTCGGTAATGCACATCACATAAGCCTTGCAAGCACTGCAACTAATATGTTAGTTGTGAGATGATGTATTACGGAACGAGTAAAGAGACTTGCCAGTAACG